CACCGCACGAACACGGGCACGGGTGGGGTGGGGGGTGGGGGCGGGGGACTGCGTGGGTGGGGCGGGTGCCGGAGTGCAGATGGATCTCCCCCTCTGCACCCTGCTCCCTCTGCACATACTCATTCCGCTCTTCCCGGTCTGCCGCCCGCCTTCCTGTAGAGAGACACTCTGCCCTGATGGATGGAAGAGCGCTTTGCAAGTTAAAATACAATGGAGGCATATGCCTCTCCTTCCCTCCCCCTCGCCCCCCCAGCACTGCACGCACATGATGGGTAGGTCAGGTTTTGAGGGTGTAACCCTGAATTTCGTGACGATGGTGCTCCCTTCCGTGACTTCATACTCGTTGTCACGCACGGGTGCTAGGCCTTTAATAGAAGTTGTTAAAGATTGGGGTGTGTGTGTGTGTGTGTGTGTGTGTGTGTGTGTTGGAGGGGGGAGGAACAGGTAATATAAACTTTGCATTTTGCACAGGATCATTTGTGCAGATGTCCTTTTCCCAGAAGGGTTTCTCGGAGTTAAAATAGTTGTGGAGTTCAGTGATATAAATAGCCAGAGAGAGAGAGAGATTTCATAAAAGCTTGCGGGGGTGAAAAAGCACGGAGAAAACCCGATTGGGAATAATTTGGCAAGGAATAGGTAAAGGAAAAGCGAGGGTTAATGGCCTTTGAGGGTCAGTTATCTCTGTCCATTTTGGTCTTGAAGCCCTTCATCTAGTAGAGTAATTCTAGATTGAGATTCGGTTTCTTTTCCAGAAATCCAGGAGTCGTCCTCCCTCCACCCCCATTTCCTCCTCAGTTCTGGGCAGTGTCTGAGATTAAACCAATTTTCCTTGTCCTTTTCAATGTTTGCATAGATAACAGGACTTTTAAGAAGTTACGTTGGGCTGATTTACAGTTTGCTATACAAACAAGCAGCCCTTTGACCTTGCTGTGAAATGATGATTGGAACTGTCTTGTAGGAGATGAGAAATTAGCAGAGTTGCTCATTCCGGGCCCTCTGGGTTCTCTGGTTAGGTGAAGGGAGGCAGAAGCAGCCTTGGACCATCTTGTCCCAAGCATTCATCGCCACCCCTTTTCCTGTGTCTGCAGCCAGTGATTTGCTCCTAATGAATGCAGCTGGGTGTTGTGTTTGCTGTGTCCATGCTTCGGTGGTAGAGTTCACATGAATCATTCCTCCTCTCGGGCAGTAATGTTCCCGAAGTTTTCTCTTCGTTCTATATTTCATGGTAGTTTAGCCTTATAACTCTTCTGTAGGCCTCTTGTACATTTAAAGGAAACTAACTTTTGCTATTTACTTTTTTTTCCTGGTAGGTCTTACTTGAAAGGCTCTTAATGTCTTCAAGGGGAAGGGGAAGTGGAAATGAGGCTTTGAATATCTGTACGATGATAATGATTGATAGACTGTATGCCTTTGAATATTTCATACCTGCAGTCTTGTTTTGAATGCTCTACCAAGTATTGGAGCCTCATTTGGTTCCAAATCCATGGACTTAGTGATGGCTGTGTATGTGGGGAGTATCATGCTAGTCTCAGATACCATCTCCATGTTTATGAGAGTCAACAGAACAGAACTCGGTTTTAATTGCTGTGTTTTCTTCTTCTAGGAGCTGGAGGAGGGAATGATATTCAGTGGTGTTTTTCTCAGGTGAAAGGAGCAGTCGATGATGATGTAGCAGAAGGTAAGAAAGTTTAACAGTGACAACCCATAGTGTCGTGGAAGTCTTGGGTACTGAAGAAACATGAACTAAACTGAGCCTATTACACTTGGCGAGTGTTTTGTGTATGTTGTCCAAAAGGTGTAACAATAGGTTTAAAAATCACCTTTCTGAAAAAGTCTTTATCTTTTTATGTCTTGTTTATTTTTTTCATTGAGTTAATGAAGTAAATGGTGAGCAGTAAGTGCTCCGGGAGGTTTGTGTAATAAGGTTTCCTTGTTATATAAATTCTACATGCAAATAACTGGACTTTGATGTTTGTGTTTTGTCGTTAGATAATTAAGTAGCAATAGATGCCAGCAACACTTAGCTCAGAAATGTTCCTACAGCATCCTTTACTCTATGGGGAGACTGAGATTCTTTTGAACTTAACTACTTTGGAATTATAGTGTTGGTTAACATGTTTGTTGAAAAAAATGCTGGCTCAAATTCACTTTATCTTGCAGGGATTCATGTGTGGTTAAGATAGATAAGATATAAATCACTTTTCTAGGGGACTTTTCGAGATAGAAGCTTGCTGATTTATTTCAGAACTTCTCTGAAGTTTTGGAATGTGAAGGTCTTGCACTCATTTTGAGATGATCTTTTGTGGTAGAGACAGATAAACTCTAAAAGGATGGTTACCATTATTTCTTTGCTCAGAAATTTTTTTTTTTTAGCTGAGGATCGAACTCAGAGCCTTGGGCTTGCTAGGCAAGCACTCTACCACTGAGCTAAATCCCCAACCCGCTCAGAAAAATTTAAAGTTTGTGGGATTGGGGTGTGTGTGTGTGTGGCTGGCCTTGACGTCAGAGATCTTCCTGCCTCTGTTTCCCCAGTAAAGTTGTGGAATTTTTCTAAACAGAAGTCAGAGAAGTTAAAAGAGCATGGACTTGGTTTTCAGAAGGTTGTCTGAAAATGTATGACCCTTTCTCTAGATTGTACCTTTCCCTGAGAGGTTGTGGTCGAGTGTCGTGGTGTCGTCGTGTCCCCCCCCCCCCCCACTGTCCTTGGAGTGCTGTTGTGAGGATTTTTTTTTTTTTCAGGTGGTAGGGCAAAGGCTGTTGACTGGCCAGATGTTTGTGTGGTGACATTTGTCACCGATGTGTACTAAGTGTGGTGAGTCCTATAGAAAGTCACTGGTGTAATTATCATATTTTACAGACACTCCCACCATTGTTTTTTGGTGGGTTCTCATCCCTTTTTCAGATGAGAAACCAGAAACTTGGAAGAATTAAAGAATTTGAGAGGGTGACTCAGTGATGGTCACAAAATCAGTGTGTGCTGGTTTTCTCTTGAACTCATTTAAAGAAATAAATACTGTGTTCAAGGGAGGAGTCGAGTATTACTGATTTTGTAACTCTATTACCTGTTGAGTAGCAGGCACTCAGATATTGGATCTTTAGTTCTGTGTTGTGTAATACTCACCACATTATGAAAGTACTCTGTACTTGGAAAACATTCCTTGGTTGCTTTCTGTTTATTCCCCTTATCAAAGGTCTCCTGAATACTGAGAACTGGGGTGTGTGGTGTCCAGAACATAAGCTGTCTACCCTTAAGAAACTCAGTTTGCTTGTTAATCATGGGGCAGAAGATTTCACTCAATCAGAAATTGATTTTCTAAGCTGAACATCAATCACTTACCTGAAACAAGTGATAGCTTGTGATTGCACACACAAAATATATATGATGGATCAGTTTTAGTTCTTGTTTGTTAGTGAAAATAGCTTCACTTTGCTCTTGATTCATTAAATTGCTTTCTAGATTACATACTATAGTGACAACACATTCTTTTTTTTTTTTTTTTTTTTTCCGTTTTTCGAGACAGGGTTTCTCTGTGTAGCTTTGCACCTTTCCTGGAACTCACTCGGTAGCCCAGGCTGGCCTCGAACTCACAGAGATCCGCCTGCCTCTGCCTCCCGAGAGCTGGGATTAAAGGTGTGCGCCTCCGCCGCCGGCTGACAACACATTCTTAACATCTTCAAGTGTCAAGACTTGGAGTGTGTGCTTCAGGAAGAACAGGACTTGTTCTAGTATCATGTCTTCACAAGTACATAGATAGCATTGTTTTCAAGTTATTCTGCTTTGGTTGGCAGATTCTTGGAAACTGTAGTTTGTATATCTTTGTCTATTATGTTCATCAAAGGGAAGTTTTGCTTTTTTTTCTAATGTAGAATATGATTATTATGCATGGCCTATAGATATAGATTACAGTCTTTAAATGGTTGCCTCTAGCTCCACCTTTAGATCTCCTGCTTTCTTTTAAGGATCCTTTGTAATTTCTTTGCTGTCAGTGGCTTGTGACGTGTGACTGTCTCCTTGCAGCCGGCCAGCCGGCCGCTGCCAGGGCATGCTGATGTACTTGTGTAATGCTTTCAGCTTCTGTGCCCGCCTTCCTATTTGTCCACTTTTGATCAATTCTGCTGTCTGCATTGTAGGTTTTTTGTTTTGGCTTGGTTTTTGGTTTTTCAAGACAGGGTTTCTCTTTAGACCAGGTTGTCCTGAAGCTATCTCCATAGACCAGGATGGCCTTGAACTCAAAGAGCTCCACCTGCTTCCTCACCAGTGCTGAGATTAAAGGTGTGGCTGCCACGCCCTGCTGTAGTTAACTTCTTGAATAAGTCCCATTTTCTTTCTGTGTTTTACTTCTGAGTTAATTTTAAACAATCCTGATTTGTCATTATTCTCGGGAATCTTTTTTTGGGTTTTTTTTTTTTTTTTTGACAGGGTTTCTCTGTGTAGTTTTGGTGCCTGTCCTAGATCTTGCTCTATAGACCAGGCTGGCCTCGAACTCACAGATCATAGATATCCACCTGGCTTTGCCTCCCTGGAGTGCTGGGATTAAAGGCATGTGCCACTACTGCCCAGCTTTCTTGGAAATCTTTAGTGGATCATTGGATCTATTGGATTAAAAAGCTAAATTTCAGCTGGCCAAGTTTGACGTTTATTCAATATGGTTCCTCTTAAGCTAATGAGGCCACTGAACTGTACAATCAAACCCTATGCACTGTACTTGTGATTTTTGAGGGGGGGTGTTTGAACCCAGAGCCTTGTGCATGCTAGGCAATTGCTGTACACTCAGGTACATCTCCAGCTTGCTGATCCCATACTGGCATGTCTGATATCCTCCTATAATTGTTCTCTTATCAGAATCCTCCTCATCCTCAGTTACACCTATAACCTTTTAATTACCTCTTGTGGAAATCATTTTTAAAATCTCTTTTACAGCACTTTATTAAATAGATACTATATTTAGTGCCTTGAACCTCTACTGTTACACTGTAAGCCTAGTGCCAGACTAATCTTTGTTTCTCTGCAAACGTTCTATGTAAACTGCTCTGCCTAGAACAAAGCCTGGCACACAGTAGGCATCGAATATCTTGAGTAAAAGTCAGTGTTAACTGTTGCTAGGTTTTTGAAAGGGGAAGAAAAGAGGTGGAAGGTAGGATAGTTGGGGTGAACTTCTGGCACTCACATTTGATTTACTCGGCAGCCTTTTTATTCTGGTTTGCAGCTTTTTAACAGGGAAGGCAGGAGCCCTTGCTCCAACATAAATGAGAGGTTAAAGCCCTCTGGGTTCCTGTACTTAGACATAAAAATGACAAGAACTAGATGAAGTGATTTCTGCTGTTTCTTATTTTCTGTTCTTGTTAGTTCCCAAAGATGTTAGAAGGAGGTAGCCCCATATTATTACTACGGATATGTTTTAAGATGCTGACTCAGTAGGGGCCTTAATTAATAATAAGTTGTAACTGGACTCACTTCTCAAGGCTCAGGAGTTTTAAGTACAGAAACAAGCTTGACACTTGGCCACAGGCTCTTGCTGTGTTTGGCCCTAAATGGGGCCGAGGTAGAAGAATATCTATGCTGTGATACTGTTCTGTCTACACGGGTCTGCAGGCATGCAGCTTTTGTGCTTTACCTTTGGAACAGCTTCTTGTTTGAGAGGAAGTTGAAGCACTGAAATCTGTCCTTCTGATTTTCTTCTAGCATGGAGTTCTCAGAGACTCTAAGGTCACTGTAACACTATTGCACTTGAAGTCTTGTATTTTCCTGGACTGGTAACACCACTGTGGTGTGGGGTCCATCAGTTCACCCATGCTTTTTCTCCGTTGCAGAAGACTTGTTGTAAACCCTGACTTAGTGTTAGTTTGATGTCTAAATGAACTTATACCTACAAAACAGAAAGAACACTGTCTTGCTTATGAGAATAGGCAGAGTTGTTTTGTTGTTGAGACATGGTCTCACATGTAGCTCTGGCTGACCTGGAACTTGCTTGCTGGCCTTGAACTCACAGAGATCCACCTCTACCTACCTCTGTCATACCTGGCCTGTTTTTTCAGACTAGGTCTCTTGTGGCCTGGTACTCTTATGTGGTGTAATCTATGCAGGCATGGAGCTCAAGATCTCCCTGCCTCAGTGCTGGTATTGCTGGTATTACAGGTGTACATGAGTGTGCCCTTCTTGAGAGCCTTGTAAAGATTTATTGTCACTTCAGTGCTTAGAGCAATAATTAGAGTGTGAGGAAACTGAGATTGTCTTACTATTTTATTTTATGTGTGTATGTTTTGCCTGCACATACATCTTTGTACTATGTGTGTGCCTTTAACTAAACTATGGAGGTCAGATGATCTAGACTTGCATTTGCAGACACTTGTGAGCTGCTATGTTAGTGCTGGTATTCGGACTGAGGTTCTCTGGAAGAGTAGCCAGTGTTCTTTTCTCCTGAGACATCTCTATAGCCCAGAGAGTATGTATGGTCTTTAAAATAGCTACTAAAGCTTTGTTGGCCAAAGTGAAGGCATGGTAAATGTTATGTAAGGAACCTCAAACTCTGTACAGCTGTGGATGGCCTTAAACTTCTGATCCTCTTGCTTCCACCTCCCAAGTACTGGGGTTATCGGCCAGTGCCACTGTGCTTGGGCTTTTAAAGAATTCTGTAGTTAGTGTAATGACTTTATGACATCTTCCTGTGTATGTAACAT